AATATCTGCCTTGAATGATAAATCATCTTGTAATTAACTGTGAAAAGTGTATAGGGTCTATTTACACAGTCCAATTTAATTTCTATATAGTTTTAACTAAACTTTTATATTAAACTTTAATGCTATAATTTTTTAAGACATGTATAATAATGTATAATAATGTCAGCAAAGAAAAATGTATTTATAAATTAATGAAAAGTATGTATAAAATTGATATGAATATTATATATTTCAGCCTAAGTTAAATCTAGATATCACATTTTTCTAAAAAATATACAATAGAATAAAATATAGAAAATTTTTCTAGCAAAAATTGCGACTTTTACGATATATTGTGTATTTATCTTTGGAAAGAGTAATATTAAAAATTAATTTTCAAGATTCTAATATAAATATATAGTTCAACTGAATGAAGTTAAATAGATCCAAAATCCACTACAAGGAATGGTTACTAATGAAACCAAATGAAACTGCTTTTGTATAATTACATTTTATTCTAAACATATAAAAAATATTACTGAATATTAAGTAATGTTGCATATGTTACAAGTTTTATATTACATCAAATTACAACTTGTAAATCTATTACAAATAAATAGAAATATATGGTTTGTGCATATACATATTTCCATGTATATAAATATTGTAAGAAGTATTATTTTTGCGAGAAAATTAAAATTACATATTTACATGGAGAAGTTAGACCAAAGCTTGAAGGTTTAAAGGAGATTTAGTTGGATATCACATAAGAAATAATTTTCCATGGTGATAGAATACATTGAACTTTTTGTTTTAGGCTGTGCATGTTTTTTTTTTTTTTAATTAAAAACAATGTAATATTTTGTTTGTATTTTATTCTTGTCAATCATTTGAAAATGAGAGCATTGTTTACATTTACATATTCAAACAAAAACAGGAAACTTTTGTATTTATGATATATATGAATGTGAGTCATGAATGTGTGTACGTATTTATACATAATGTACATATATATTAAATGTGTCAGAGTAGTTGTACATACTAATGTATTGACTTTGTTTGTAATAAATTGACATGTTACAAGTTTTATCTGCTTTTTATTTATGCAAAATAAAAAAAATTCATTAGAGAAAATTTATCGATGGAATTTCTGTATATATCTTCAGTTATAAAAGAAATATTGTTGAGATCTTAATTTTTAATATTTATAGAGTTGGAGAAAATTGATATAAATTTAACTTCACATATTGTATAAAAAAATAGATAAATAATCTGTATTTTTGTTGTTAAATAGATTTTTTTGGAAAATCGAACAAATTTATATCTTCAATGTGAAACATTTATTTTGTGTTTATAGATCTATTTAAATTTGAATTCCTGTCAACAAATTATTCATAAAAAAAAAAGTTCAAGGATTTTTAATTTATTTTAAAATATACCTTTATTTTGTATAAAAGATTAATTTTTTTATTTACATGTGTTTCAAATGTACTACATATATTGATATTAATAGTAGAGCAGAAATTACGTACTTGCGATACAGCTATTATTATAAGCAGTCGTCGCAAATCTAATATCAGTATGAATCCACCTTTAATAATGTACTTTCATAGAAATGTCGTTATTAAATTTGAACGAAATAATTCGTATACTTACGAGTGATTGTCGAATTTCTCACTAATTTCTTAAAAGAAAAATATATATTTATTTGTGTGTATTTATTTATGTATATATTTGTAAATAATAAATAATTCGTATACAGTGTATAACAATTCAAGAATTATATCGTTACGGTGATTTGGAAAAACAACATTTCTTTATATAATTTCTAACTGAAAACATAACAGAGAATAATATATATCTATGATTTGACACGAGAATTAATTTTTGTTGGTATTTTCTAGGGTTGATGGTTGATTACTGTTCTAGGTTATTTGAACGTTATTCTATAGTTGCATATTGTTCGATATCATCCAATTAAAATTTATTCAAAACGTAGAGAATATGAATCTATTACCAAAATCGACTGAAGAATTTAGCCAAGTTGATTATTGGAATACATTTTTCAAAAAACGTGGTAAAAAGAATTTTGAATGGTATGTCCTGTTTATATTAGTATTGAATTATTAAACCTATATTTATTTTAAATATGCGTATATAATCCTTTTTATTTAGGTATGGAGAATATCCAGAATTATGTGGTATATTTTTAAAGTATATAAACGTTAAAGATAATGTTTTAATTGTTGGTTGTGGCAATTCTACTGTTAGTATGTGCTTGTACGATGCTGGCTATAGGTATGTCACATTCAGAAAATTTAAAGTGAAATTGTTTTGTTCAAGATTGTAATTTACATAATTCTTTAGCTGTAAGAAATAATGTCAGTTTATCTTTATCTAAGTTTAGTTTTGATTGTAGAAATATTACTAATATTGATATATCACATATTGTTATCAAACAAATGCGTGATATAAATGCAACTATGAGACCAAAATTAGTTTACTTACATATGGATGCTACACAAATGACATTTGCTGATAATGCATTTAGTGTTGTTTTGGATAAAGGCACTTTGGATACTCTTATGCCTAAAGAAGGGACAATATCTAATGTTAGCAAATATTTTAAGGTACATTGTATATATTAAATAATGAGTAAACAATGGTTATATGAAGTTTTTTTACAATATATGTATTTTTTACAATATGTGTGTGTGTGT